GACGATTTATATCAACAAAAAGCAGAGGGAGCCTTTGTAAGGTCTAGGAAGAGATGGCTGGAGGAGGGGGAGCAAAATTCAGCTTACTTTTTCCGTCTTAAAAGATACCGGTCTAAAATCAATTCCATCTATAATTTAAATATTAATGGGATTGTTACTGATGACGCTAAATTAATCGCAGATTTTTGTTCAAAATGTTATAGTAATTTATACAGTTCAAAATTTAATGAAGCAGTTACATCTCAATTTCTTAACTCAATGAATAACATAAGACAGATTGATGAGGTAGACAAAGATTATTGTGACACCCCTCTTAAATTGGAAGAGGTCACTGACTCTACTCAAAAACAATAAATCCCCCGGCACTGACGGTTTAACTGCAGAATTTTACAAAACATTCTCTGATCAATTAGCCCCTTTTTTACTGCAAGTTTTTATGGAAAGTATAGAGAATGAGACCCTTCCTCCTAGCCTCACTCAAGGGCTGGTCACTTTGATCCCCAAGCCTAGGAAAGATATACTTTTTATTGACAGCTGGAGACTCTGTTAAACAATGACTACAAAATTATGGCGTTAATATTTGCTAGGAGAATTAAAGAAACTCTTGACACAATTATAGATGAGACACAATCCGGCTGAGGAACAGACACATTTCTAATAATATTAGATTGGTGTTGGATGTTCTTGACTACTCTGACCTGATATCTGAAGATAGCTTTATCCTCCTCTTAGATTTCTATAAGGCTTTCGAATCGATAGAACACAATTTTGGTTTTGGGAATTTTTCCTGCAAAGCAATTAAAACCTTATATGTTAATGTCAATAGTTCTATCAAATTGAAAAACGGAACTTCCACTAGATTTAATCTGGAACGGGGCATTCGTCAGGGATGCCCAATTTCCCCTTATCTTTTTTTGCTTTGTACGCAAATTCTCACAACTCATGTTATTAATAGCTCTATACAAGGAATTTCTATTGCGGGTAGGGATATCATCATCAGTCAGCTTGCTGACGATACCACAATCTTTTTAAAAAATGCAAGCCAGATACCGGTCACCATTCATGTTATTAGTCAGTTTTCAAAGGCCTCTGGTTTATGCCTAAATATTAATAAATGTGAGCTGTTGCCCTTAAAAGAGTGTAATATACAAACTATTTGCAACATTCCAGTCAAGGATGAAGTTACCTACTTAGGTATTGTTATCTCTAAAGATCAGAAAAAGAGATGTCCTTTAAACTTCTCTCCGATTATTAAAAAAACTCAAAACAAACTGAACCAGTGGTTACAAAGGGACTTATCTCTAAAAGGCAGAGTGTTGCTTACCAAAGCTGAAGGTTTATCCCGGCTCACATACGCAGCTCTCTCTTTACACCTTGACAATAAAATTTGTAAAGACATTGATAGAATGCTTTTTGACTTCATCTGGAAAAATCGGACCCATTATATCAGAAAAAGTGTTATTATGAATAATTATGAATCTGGTGGCCTTAACTTATTGGACTTCAATACTCTAAACAATACCTTTAAGATTAATTGGGCTAAGCATTTTCTTAAAAACCCTGTCTCAGTTTGTAATTTTATCCCCCATTTTATTTTCTCTCGCTTTGGTGGTTTGAGCTTTACTTTGAATTGCAACTATAATGTGGACAAACTCCCCTGTAAAACTGTCCAATTTTCACAAGCAGGTCTTTTTAGCTTGGTCTCTTATTTATAAGCATAATTTCTCACCTCACATGTATCTAATTTGGAATAATAGAGATATTTTATATAAGAACAAATCACTCTTTTTTGAGAATTTGGTAAGCAACGAGATTCTGCTGGTGGACCAACTATTTAATGAAGAGGGGCGACTTTTTTCCTATAGAGAATTTTTGTCTACCTATAGCATTCCAGTTACACCAAGATAATTTGCAATTGTATTTGACGCCATTCCATCAGGCGTAATCATGCTTTTTAGGTGTTCTAGCAGACTTGCACCTACTTCTGTCTCCCTCCCCAATGTGGCTGAGTCACCAGTTGGGAAAATCTGTTTCTCCCAACTTCCTCATAATAATAAGAACGTCCGTGCCTTATTTCAGAAAGAAATTGTCTCAATCCCTAATGTTACGTTTTATTGGAACCAATTTGTAAATACTATTGACTGGAAAAAGGTTTGGATGATACCTCAAAGATACCTGTTAGTAAACAAGGTGAAAGAAGTGTCGTTCAGAATAATTCACAGATATTATCCTGCTAGTCATTACATGGTTAAGTTTAAAAGAGACATAAATACAAACTGTTCTTTTTGTGAGGACCACCCTGAAACTGTTTTGCACCTATTTTGGTATTGCTCACACACCAGAAAATTCTGGCAAAACCTCAGCAGATTCATCATTGACAATATTTATAAAGACTTTGCTTTATTGTGGAAGGATGTTGTTTTTTGTTTTTATAGAAGTCATAGTAAAGAAAAGACGTATTTCATTATAAATTTGTTAATTATTTTGGCGAAATTTCATATTCATAAATGTAAATTCAGTGCTAAAAAACCTAACTTTGTACTTTTTTTCAACGAAGTTGTACATTATATTAAGCTGATTCTTGGATCGACTACAAAACTACACTGGTGTTCTGGGACAGGCATTAAGCTGGTTTAGATCGTACTTATCGGACCGTTATCATTTTGTCTGTTTAAATGGTAAAAAAATCAAACATAACGTCAGTAGACTATGGAGTACCGCAAGGATCGGTTTTAGACCCTCTGCTATTCTCAATATACACTCACCGGCCACTTTATTAGGTACCCCATGCTAGTAACGGGTTGGACCCCCTTTTGCCTTCAGAACTGCCTCAATTCTTCGTGGCATAGATTCAACAATGTTGGCAGGAGATTGTCTTGACCATGTCTACATGCCTAAATGCACTGAGTTGCCGCCATGTGATTGGCTGCTTAGAAATTAGTTGGACAGGTGTACCTAATAAAGTGGCCGGTGAGTGTATATGCTGCCACTTGGTAATATTATAAGAAAACATGGAATTAATTTCCACTGTTACGCTGACGACACTCAATTATACATTTCATCGCGACCAGATGAAAACACTAACTCATCTAAAATGACAGAGTGTCTCAAAGATATAAAATGCTGGATGACGCGTAATTTCCTGCTATTAAATTCAGATAAAACGGAGGTATTACTTATTGGTCCAAAAAACTACTCACAAAACCTCTTACAGTACAACTTTAATATAGACGGATGTCCTGTTACTTTATCCACTACAGTAAAAGACCTGGGTGTTATACTAGACCGCAACTTGTCTTTCGAAAATCATATTTCATATGTTACAAGAACAGCCTTTTTCCACCTTAGAAACATTGCTAAGCTACGTAACATGCTATCTATCTCTGATGCAGAAAAATTAGTTCACGCATTCATGACCCCGAGACTAGATTACTGTAATGATTTATTAGCCGGTTGTCCTGCATCCTCAATAAACAAGCTACAGTTAATACAAAATGCAGCTGCTAGAGTTCTTACTAGGTCAAGAAAATATGATCATATAACACCGATTTTATCATCTCTACACTGGTTACCTATTAAGTTCCGTATCAATTACAAAATACTGCTACTAACCTATAAAGCCCTAAATGGTTTAGCACCTATGTACTTAACGGACCTTCTTTCGCCCTACAATCCACCGCGTTCCTTAAGATCACTAAATTCAAGGCTTCTGGTCATTCCTAGCAGGATATCGAAGTCCACTAAAGGAGGGAGGGCGTTCTCGCATTTAGCTCCAAAACTCTGGAATAGCCTTCCCGGTACGGTCCGAGCCTCTGACTCGCTGACACAGTTTAAAACTAGATTAAAGACGCATCTCTTTAGTCAAGCATTCACATAATGCTTACCTTTTAGTCCTCTGTTATGCCATACGGAACCGTTTGCCACTGAAACTGCTTTATGCACCAGTGGGGCTCGACAGCCTTCTAGACAAACGGGTCGGCGCGTATGGTTGGGTTGCGGAGAGTTCAGGTTACGGAGAGTTTGTGAGATAGTGGTTTCTAACACCGACTCCCGTATAATGGAAATCATTATGAACATCAGCTATGCTAATTATTTCCCATCTGCCTTTCTGCTGTTATCTCGGGACGCTTGTCCCGAGAAAAATGGCGTTCGTTAGGTCCAGTTTTGTCTCCAGCCTCTCACGGGGATTTCGGATGCCCCAACGCCTGTGATGAGAAGACCAACGCCTGTGAAGAGACGACTCAACGCCTGCGATATGTTATGGCGCCGTTTTATACATAAACAATGTTTATATTTAATAGTTATATATAAACAATATGAATGTAAGCCAGAGGAGAACTGGCCCCCGACTGAGCCTGGGTTCTCCCAAGATTTTTTCTCTATCCAATCTGATGGAGTTTTGGTTCCTTGCCACTGTCGCCTTGCTTTTGGCTTGCTCAGTTGGGGTTATTTAGTGTTTAGCAATATTATTGATCTGTGTTGTACTACTTTCATGTTATCACTGTGAAGCTGCTTTGATACAATCTGTATTGTGAAAAGCGCTATATAAATAAATGTGACTTGACTTGACTTGATTTCTGGCTCCAACAACAAAAAGGCAATTAAAACTGTCAACATATGGTCCTTTTTTTCTTTGTAATGGCCCTTATGCTTCCCCTGGCAAAACTGTTTTGTATTTATTTTAATGTTATATTTCTGTATATTGTAATGTATATATTTTTTAATTTTTTGTGATGTGATTTGTACTGTGTTTTTGCAATAAAAAAAAATAGACCAGACGTCGTCGGGTGTGAACGACGCCATAGTTTTCTTGTTTGATTAAAAAAAAAGAAGAAGAAAAAAAGAACTGTCAACAAGTAACACATCTGTTCTAAAGGTTCTAACACTGTATCGACACAACAACGTGACTAAGTTACATAATCAACGAACATACACGTGCTGTACATCTCGAAATACGTCTTTATGTACCTCATTAAATGTATGTCTTAATTTGTAAATACCGTGTTTTTTTCACAGAAGTCCCCCACCGATTCAGCGTGTACGTCTTTCTTCTTCTTCTTCTTCTTCTTCTTCTTCTTCTTCTTCTGCGGCGGATCGCAGACAAGTGCATTACCGCCACCCATAGACCGCCATCTATCACCAAATGGACCACTGACACTTCTTCTTCTTCTTCGTTTTTTTCCTGCCGACTTCCAACCATATGGAGCGTTATCGCCACCTACTGTATCTTAGTTACATTTGCTTAAATCCTAATGTTTAGTCCAGTTTGTTGTAGATAATATGACATGATTTTAAGTACCATCTTTCTGGAATTATTTGAGAAGATATTTGTACGTCCATTTGTTTGATTCCTTCATTTTCCATTCCTTAGAGCCAGTCTTTGATTTAGTATTTACACTCAAACAGCAAATGTTCCGCAGTTTCTTATTGACTGCATATATCACAATTTCCCGTTGGATGTTTCCCAATAACGTGTAGTGATGCATTTAACCTTGTGTGACCAAGCCTGATTCTGCTAAACATGCCCTGTTCTCTGCTCTGCTTCCCCAGAGTCTTTTCTTCCCCCAGACCCCCACCTTCTGCTGTAAATAAATTGTTTCATACCGCCATCTACTCTGCCGGAGTGTGCAGTATCAGGGCTTTCATACTTCAGGTTACAGGTTACAAGTAAATAAATGACTAGAAAACAAAACACGCAAAAACACAAAAACAAAAAAAATATATATATAATATCAGAATTATATTTACTACACTTCATGATGACATGCTCGACATTTTCGGGGAACATTTACAAGCCTCACATTTATCAGACAAACATTTTGACGTTAAATAAAGTGTTGATTTTAACCCAGTATGTCCAAACCTTAATCTTGAAAGCACCACTTCATCTCTTCTACACTGCCCTTTGAAGCTCTTCACCTTAAAGGGACTCTGTGTAGGAATTACCCCCATCTAGTGGTTAAATAGTATTTTGCATTCAAACGAATTTTGCTCTCCAGCGTTTTGCTTTTTCAAGTGTGTATTGCATCTACGGTTGCCGTTATGTACCAAAAATGCTATGACAGGATGTCTTGTAGTAACACTTCATCGAGTTTTTCTCCGGGTGAACAGGTTTGTAACTTAAAAAAAAATAGCAACTTATGTGTTAACTTATGTGTACAATTTATGTGTCTAGCTGTATAAATTAATTTTAATTCTCTGTACAATCTTATCCACATAGCAAAATCACAATTTTAGCTAATTGATCATTTATATAAAAAAAGAAAGCTATAGAAAATCTTACAGAGAGCAATATTTTCTTCAATATTTTCTTACAATCATTCCCAGCAAACAGGGGACGTCCTCCGGACGTTGCGAACGTCTAATTAGGTCCGGATCTGGTCCGGTTCATAACGTTCGCTGGGGGACGTTCGGAGGACGTCCGCATTTGGTCCGGTTTATAACGTTCGCCAGGGGACATTTTGAGGACGTGCACTTTGACATTAAGGTGCAAAACCATAAAAACAAGAAGTGTTGGTGGTATAAAAATACTGCCTATTAGCATTTTTAGCACATGTTCAAATGAGATATGCTTGAGTGTTCGCAAAAACAATAATAAAAAAATCTGAAAAGTGCCATTGTCCCGGAGTGATAATCCTAGGAACGGGTCATAGCTTTAAAATAAGTTTTAGATTCATGCTTTAATAATGATATTTTTATTCAAGTAGGTTATAATTCTAATTTATGTTTGTAAATATATGACTTGATGCGTTTTAACGGGCATGCGCGTGAAGTTGAGTTGCCATGGAAACGGAGGGTCACCAGTGCAGACAGCAAACTCCGACTCTCCCTGTTTTCACTGCTTTCAGGTGAGTTTAGTCTGTAAAATCACACAAATAATACACACGACTGTTCTTGACGCTTCTCTTAATTTTAACTGGCACGCTTCTGTTTAATATTTAACGTTACTTTATAGAAATGGGTTAGTGTCTTCGAAAAAATCCATTAACCGTTTAGCTACAGTTACAGAGTTAACGTAAGGCTAACGTTATAGCTTGAGCTTTTGTTTATGAATGTTTGGGCTTTTAATCACATTTTATGTGTTGATTAGAGGTTTTGATATTTTTGTAGCCTAAATATTTTGCTTGGAAGTGAGCTAAAAACGTATGTATTTAACATAAAACGTTACGTTTTATTACTGTTAATCGATGACGTCACTTACACGGCTGAACTAGCTAATGGTTCATAAATATTGATAAAAAGAAAAATTATGTGATTTCAGCAGCAACAAGATAACTGTTGGCTATGTGACAAATGGTTTGTTGTGTTCCTAGATCGTTCCATGCTGATGCCCTGCTCAGTAGCAGAGTTGAACTGGCCATCATCTGAACCTGGCAACCGGACACGCAAACACACACGCTCTTTTTTGATAATGAAAATAAAATTATTTTGTTTCCTAATATTCCTTGTTGTGTGTTTGTTCCTTGGGTAGTTAATATGTTAAAAATACTTCTAGTGAACGTAAAGTTCACTATAGAAGTCTGAAAAGTCCCCGAATGTTTGCTGAACGTCCCGCAAACGTTCCCCGCGACGTCATGTGAACGTCCCGCGAACGTCCCCCGCGACGTCCTGTGAACGTCCCGCAAACGTCCCCTGCGACGTCCTGAGAACGTTTAAAGAACCCTACACGAAGACGTTCAGGGGACGTTCGCAGTGGACGTTCAGGGGACGTCCTGGGGACGTGTTTTTGTTAGCTGGGATTATCTCTATATTCTTACTGAATTTATAGGTTATAAAGAATTAACTTACAAACCTTGTTTTTAGCACCTTCCTTCACAATAGCTGCGAGTAAAGTAGTCAATAGCTGCTATTCATCAAAGACCTTGTTTAACTTTTTTACCTATAAATGTTATACTGTCTATATAATAAAGTACACAACCAAGCAATGACAAAAAAATTAAGTAAGACTGTAACATTGACTAACCTGTCGAGGAGAAAGCAGGCAACTTCAGCGTCTCTTCTGAAATATTTCTGCTGCATTAGCTCTTTCCACCTTGAAAACGCTATCCCGATATTTAAGGCCATCCCAGATAGCAAACTGACATTGAATCAACGTGGAAATATGACATCGAAACAACGTTGATCTGACATTGTTTTGCTCATCGAATTAACGTTGAAGCAATGTCAGACGCGTCATTCTTTCAAGTCAAGTCAAGTCAAGTCAAGTCACATTTATTTATATAGCGCTTTTCACAATACAGATTGTATCAAAGCAGCTTCACACTGATAACATGAAAGTAGCACAACACAGATCAACAACATTGCTAAACACTAAAACATCCCAACTGAGCAAGCTCAAAGCAAGCCAAAAGCAAGGCGACAGTGGCAAGGAACCAAACTCCATCAGATTGGATGGAGAAAAAACCTTGGGAGAACCCAGGCTCAGTCGGGGGCCAGTTCTCCTCTGGCTTACATTCATATTGTTTAAATATTAAATATAAATATTGTTTATGAATAAAACGGCGCCATAACATATTGCAGGCGTTGAGTCGTCTCTTCACAGGCGTTGAGTCGTCTCATCACAGGCGTTGGGGCATCCGAAATCCCCGTGAGAGGCTGGACACAAAACTGGACCTGACGAACGCCATTTTTCTCGGGACAAGCGTCCCGAGATAACAGCAGAAAGGCAGATGGGAAATAATTAGCATAGCTGATGTTCATAATGATTTCCGTTATAACTCACAAACTCTCCGTAACCTGAACTCTCCGCAACCCAACCATACGCGCCGACCCGTTTGTCTAAAAGGCTGTCGAGCCCCACTGGTGCGTTAAGCAGTTTCAGTGGCAAACGGTTCCGTATGGCATAACAGAGGACTAGAAGGTAAGCATTATGTGAATGCTTGACTAAAGAGAAGCGTCTTTAATCTAGTTTTAAACTGTGTCAGCGAGTCAGAGGCTCGGACCGTATCGGGAAGGCCATTCCAGAGTTTTGGAGCTAAATGCGAGAACGCCCTCCCTCCTTTACTGGACTTCGATATCCTAGGAATGACCAGAAGCCTTGAATTTAGTGATCTTAAGGAACGCGGTGGATTGTAGGGCGAAAGAAGGTCCGTTAAGTACATAGGTGCTAAACCATTTAGGGCTTTATAGGTCAGTAGTAGTATTTTGTAGTTGATGCGGAACTTAATAGGTAACCAGTGTAGAGATGATAAAATCGGTGTTATATGATCATTTTCTTGACCTAGTAAGAACTCTAGCAGCTGCATTTTGTACTAACTGTAGCTCGTTTATTGAGGATGCAGGACAACCAGCTAATAAATCATTACAGTAATCTAGTCTGGAGGTCATGAATGCGTGAACTAATTTTTCAGCATCAGAAATAGATAGCATGTTACGTAGCTTAGCAATGTTTCTAAGGTGGAAAAAGGCTGTTCTTGTAACATATGAAATATGATTTTCGAACGACAAGTGCGGTCTAGTATAACACCCAGGTCTTTTACTGTAGTGGATAAAGTAACAGGAGTAAAAGTAACAGTAAAGTAACAGTAACATCTGAATTTAATAGCAGGAAATTACGCGTCATCCAGCATTTTATATCTTTGAGACACTCTGTCATTTTAGATGAGTTAGTGTTTTCATCTGGTCGTGATGAAATATATAACTGAGTGTCGTCAGCGTAACAGTGGAAATTAATTCCATGTTTTCTTATAATATTACCAAGTGGCAGTGTGAAGTCAAACATGTAATTTATTATTACTTGAGAAATTACTGAAGAGAATTCTCTTTCGGTTTCGCCGAATTGACGGTCATAGATGGTGTTACGGAAAGGCACGAAGAGCGCCGTCTTCCGGGTGACGTCATCCGGCATCTGTCGGAAAAAGCCGAACCCTATTTACGAGCGCACCTGATAAAGATTGATTCCTCAGAGCGCATTAGAGACCAAGCACAGGCAAAAACAAGAGAAATGAGAACAATGCTTGTTGCTTGCAGGCTTTTCCAGCTTCCCTCCTACAAAATGGGGAAAACTTTGTAACTGGAAGTTATGAGGTATGAGAGAGAAATACAACGCAAATCGGATGTGCATCAGTGATTAATCAACCCGAGACGCTGCTGGTAGGATGACTGCTTGACGCTTGATTGATTTATATTGCTATGAGACATTTTACACGATTGTGAATAAGAGTATTATCTATAAATGAATTTAAAATGTCTAGTAGAGTGTATATTGCTGTGATGTAATGTCAATATCCGTTTATAATTAGATCTTGTATTTTTTTTTCTCTTCCTGTTTTTCTTTTAAAAAGGTTATCAACCTAGTTTGAGCTTGAAGCCTTCTATCAAAGAATTTACTGTTTGAAGATAATCTGACTGCAAATGAAGCTCATCTGTTCCAATGTATTGTGACATGAATGAAAAGAAGAGACTGCAAGTTAAGATTGTAACAACTTTAATGAAGAATGAAAGTAAAAGCCATTTTTGAGATGATTCCTGTGTCCGTGGTTGACTAAGCATTTTTCAAGTTTAAAGCAGAACTGATGTATGAAATCCCCCCAGAAACTTGACAGGCAGCATATATATTGAGAATAGCAGAGGGCCTAAAACCGATCCTTGCGGTACTCCATAGTCTACTGACGTTATCTTTGATTTTTTTCCCATTTAAACAGACAAAATGAGAACGGTCCGATAAGTACGATCTAAACCAGCTTAATGTTTTGTAGTTTTGTAGTCGATCCAAGAGTATTATATGATCTATAGTGTTGAACGCAGCGCTAAGATCAAGTAGGACTAGTATTGAGATACAGCCTTGGTCAGAAGCTAAAAGTAAATCATTTGTAATTTTAACTAGCGCAGTTTCTGTACTATGATGCGGTCTGAATCCTGACTGGAATTTTTCATAGATATAATTTTCTTGCAAAAAAGAGCACAATTGAGCGGACACTACTTTTTCAAGTATTTTGGACATAAATGGAAGATTTGAAATGGGTCTGTAATTTGCCAAGTTATTTGGATCTAATTGCGGTTTCTTAATGAGCGGTTTTATTACAGCCAGCTTGTATATTTTTGGGACATGACCTAAAGATAAAGACGAGTTAATAATATTGAGGAGAGGCTCTTCCACTGCAGGTAATAGTTCTTTCAGTAGTTTAGTGGGTATTGGATCTAATAAACATGTTGTTGGTTTAGATGCAATGATAAGTTTATTTAGCTCCTCCTGTCCTATCGTTGTAAAGCGGTGTAGTTGTTCTAGAGGGGCCATAATTGAAGCTGAATCATAAGACACCATAGCGGATTGTACATTTATAATTTTGTTTCGGATGCTTTCTATTTTCGCATTGAAGTAATTCATAAAATCATTACTACTAAACTGTAACGGTATATTTTGCTCTGGTGATGTCTGTTTATTTGTTAGTCTAGCCACGGTGTTAAATAAAAACCTTGGATTATTTTGGTTATTTTCGATTAGTTTGCGGAGATGCTCAGCCCTGGCTGTTTTTAGGGCCTTTTTATAACGTGACATACTGTCTTTCCACGCGATTCTAAAGACCTCTAAATTAGTTTATTTCCATTTACGCTCTAAGTTGCGAGTTTCTCTCTTGATAGCATGCGTAGCACTGTTGTACCATGGTGCTTTAATTTTCTCTCGAACCTTTTTTAATCTAATTGGCGCAACAATATCTAATGGACTAGTAAGAATGGTGCTTAAACTGCTAGTCATTTCCTCTAATTCATCTGTTTGTTTGGGTTCACTTAGCAGCTTAGATAGATCAGGTAAGCTATTTGAGAATCCATCTACAGTGGTTGGAAGGATTGTTCTGCCTGGTCTATAACGTGGTGCAACATGACATATTTCATCAGTACGTATTATGCAAGTCACCATGTGATCAGTGACATCATCGCTTTGCGGTATAATATCTATATCAGTTGGATCGGTCCCATATGATATAATTAAATCTAGTGTATGATTTAGACGATGAGTGGGACCACTGACGTTTTGTTTGACCCCAAAGGAGTTTAATAAGTCTGTAAACGCAGCCCCTAAAACATCATTTGTATTATCTACGTGTATGTTAAAATCTCCAGCAATTATTGCTTTATCGACATTTACCAATAGATCCGAGAGAAAGTCTGCAAACTCTTTTAGGAATTCAGCATATGGCCCTGGAGGTCTATATACAGTAGCCAGGGCTAGAGATAATATGGATTTCCTTCTTACATCTAAGAGTGTAACATTTAGCACAAGTACTTCAAATGAATTAAACCTGTGACCTGTTTTCTGAGTAATATTAAAAATATCTTTATAGATTGTTGCAACACCGCCGCCACGACCGATCAGACGAGGCTCATGTTTATAACAGTATCCTGGCGGAGTAGATTCGTTTAGACCGAAATACTCATTTGGTTTAAGCCAGGTTTCAGTAAGGCACAGAACATCGAAGTTATTGTCTGTGACCATTTCATTTA